TCCTTTTCTCTTTCTCTCTGTATATCATTATCTACCTTCCTCTCTTCCTCCTTGTCTCTAATTTTGCCTTGCTTCTTTCGCTCTACATTGTCGACATCGAAAAAAAGAAGAGGTAAAAGGCATAATACGTCATATATATATTTATTTTACATTCATTATTTACCTTATTATTTTTATTATAGATGTCAGTGGCCTTACAAATCACTGAAGTTGTCTTGACTGTGATAATGAAAGTGCCCGACATTATCAGAGTCTTCAAGGAGCTTGGCAACGGGAAGGTGAAACAGGAACACGAGAATCTTGCACAGGTCAGTGGAATAAAAGGAAAGGAAGATGCAAGGGAGGAGAAGGGAAGGGAAAGAGAGGGATTGAGGGAAAGAGGGTAAGAGAGAGTAGGGGGGGGGGAGGGAAAGGGGTAAGAGAGCGAGATAAGGGGAAGAGAACAAGAGAAGGGAGGGAAGAGAGATATAGAGGGGTGGAGAAAGAGAGAGGGGGAAGAGAGAGAAAGAAAGAGAGAGAGAGAGAGAAAGAGAGAGAGGGGGAAGAGAGAGAGAGAGAGAGGGGGGGGGGGTGAGAGAATGAGAGGAGAAGAAAGAGAGAGAGGGGGAAGTAAAATTAGAGGAGGGGAAGAAAGATTAAGGGAGCGGAACAGAGAGAGGAATATGAAGAGAGAGGAGGGGGAGGAGGAGGGGAAGAAATAGATAGATAGAGAGAGAGGGGGGTGCAAGAGAGAAAGGGGGTGAAAGAGAAAGGGAGGGGAAGAGAGAGAAAAGACGGCAAGAAAAAGGGGAATATAGAGGGAGGGGATATGTATGTGTGTGTGTATGTGTATATATATACACATACATACGTATATACGCACATATGAATACACACGAATATACATATCTATAATTGTGTAAATGTATTATACATCTAACAGAGTGTGCTTCACTTAACAGGAACTCTGTGCCCTTCGCAAGGAACATGAGAGGGCGTCAAAGACCATTGACGCCCTAGTTGAGGTGAGACAATAATAATTCCTATCAATGATGGTCAAAGGTTATATTCACAGAGAGTTCATGTACTTGCATGATGAATCTGTTGTTCTTAAGGACATATGTAAAAGGAACACACCTTTCCCCATTTTCTTTTTGCGTATATTTATATTTTGTTCTGTATCGCCTCCTCCTTCTCCTCCTTTATATTTTCTTCTTCGTCTTCATTTCTTGTCCTTTTTTCCGCCTTCTCTTCTACCTCTCCCTCTTCTTATTCTTCCTTTTCCTTATCATCCTCTTCGTCTTCGTCGTCCTCTCCCTCTGCCTCCTCCTCCTCGGCCTTCGTTCCTCTACTTTCAGTTCCTCCTTCACTAGCATGAGCTGCAGACAGTTCTCCTTTAAACTTCACCTTAAGAAATAGCTGCGAATGCATTCTCTTATCACTAAATCTACCTTCGTTGTTTTGCAGAGCCAAGAACAATTGAACCAAACACTCCAGCTGCTGACAGAACTGCTGATAGTGCTAAACAGCCTGTCTTCAAGGCCTTGGCCAGATCTGCAAGAGAGCATTCGCGACGTTTTGGGTCAAGGAGGCCTCCACCAGGACTCTGGCGTCCGTGTGAACGAGGCGAGGAGGCGTTTTCTGTGTCTCTTTGTTCCTATAGTTCCTTCCTTTTTTTTCTTTTCTTTTTTTTTGCGTTGGTTCATAGGTATGGATATACATTATATGTAATAAAACAAGTACAGTTCAAGAAACAAACAGGCACATGTAATGTATGTACAATACATGCACATTAATAGAAACTTTTTTCGAGGATTTTTTTATTTATCAGATCAGCATTATTAGGACAGTTCTGAAGACCATGTAATGTACATTTAGAAACATTTACAGCAGCCTCCATATGGTTTGCATCTTTGTAGGTAAATAAAAGTAGCAATAGCATGGTTGTACGTAATGTTTTTTTTTTTTATTGGAAAAAAGTCAATGCAGATGGCGGAGATAAATCTGTAACGATATGCAAATATCTCCTTTAATCTTTTTTGGGAGGCATTCGCCGCTTGAAAAACAGAATTTGAATAGTACACTTACTCTATCGTTTTATCTTTGGCATATTTTTCTCACAAAAGGAAGAAAACAACAAAAATGTCTTTTTCAGTGCTTTCTGAAGAGAATGAGACCAATCCCACTACAGTAACTGTCCTGAGCCATCGACGGCCTATACTTATGTTTCTTTTCCTTTTAGGTACTAATGAAGAATTATAAACTTCAAATTGCTATTTGATAAAAAAAAGTATTCAACATTAAAGCAGTAGAAAACTAAAATCCTTAGAACTCAGTAATGCCATGACAGTTAGTTTTACAACCCTTCACGACCAGCTCATTCAATGGCGTAGATAAGATAATGTCCCGGACTTCTTACCGCGAAACAGCAAAAAAGTGTTAGTTACTAATCCAACCGCCTGTCGCCTGCCTGCCTCACCTTCAGTCCGAAGCGCCTTCTTTATTGGCATAATAATCCTATAAAAGAGACTTTTAAGACCATTGACCTTGTCCTGCATCGAGCCATATGGGAAAATGCTTTTCACAAGCTCATGACATCGAAAGTCACGACAGTATGTCCCTCCATTATACTGTAATGACTGAGAATGTACTGTCGCTGTCAACCACTCTCTAGTCTTGAACCAACATGAATGTCCTTTCGTTAATGGAGAACTGCCAGTATAAAGTTTACGGCATGTATTAAAAGACCCTCGCCTGAAACGCACAAAATCAGACGAAATATGAGGCGACTTAAGGCGCTCTGATAACTGCATGCGAGCTCCACCCGACAGAGGCAAGGGCCATCAACGATCGTCGACTCCGCCTCAAGGGCCTCGCCCCTTAGGCTCATCCTTAATACGGCGCGGTCGCATTGAGGATGAGCCGAGGTCGGGCACGTCCGTAGCTTCCCACCTTTTGGGAACGCACGAAGATCACCCCAGAGGCCCCGTCTTGCGGAGACTCCTTTCGGCTGCAGTTCCCCCTGGCAGATTGACCTGCCTGTGGCGCCCAGCCAGTCTACCGCGTAAACAGGCGAACCGCGTCATGTTTAGAGACTGGCAGCGCTATAGATACACACATATTGTCCCAGCCGGTTCAGTTGCGACGTTTGCTTGGTGACGCCACGTTCTTGGGCACCTCTCCCGAGAGTTAAAACAGAGCGAAATGGGGCCAGGCAGAAACTGTGGGCTAATATACAGGACACCGTGTTTTGCAGGCTCCCTCAGGGCTAACCTGTGCAGTCTGCAGGTCGACCTACAACGCGCACGATCGTCGTCCGCTTATCTTCTCCAGCTGCGGCCACACCTTCTGCGAGGAATGCCTTAGTAAGGTTTCTGTTGTTTGTCTTTCTGTGAAATCTGTGTTTGGCTTAATGTTTGGTTTCTTTCCTGGTTTGTGCTTCTTTGTTTTATTTTTAATTATTTATTTATTTATTTATTTTTTGTTTGGCGTTGCGTTGTGTCTTTGTTTTCAGTGTCTTGGTGCCTCGTTTTTTTGTTTGTTTTATTTCTGCAATAATTAATATGTTGCTGTAAGAGGAGATACAATGGGTGACAGGGTAAAATATATACATATATGTGTGTTTGTATGTAAAATAATGATTAAATGAATGAATAAATGAATAAGTAGATGAATAAATACATACGTAGATAGAATAGATAAGAATATCTTAGAAATAATAAATTAGTAGATAAATAAGTGAAATGAATAGATAGATTTAGAGAAGGCTTAATGAGTAAAAAGAAAGGCAATGAAAATCTTTCCTTCAAGGGACGGAGAACCGCAAGAGTGTGTTCCGGTGCCTTTCTTGCCGGCAGGACCGCGACCAGTTCCGGACGCTGAAGCCTAACTTCGCGCTGCTCGACCTGCTCGAAGCGGTACGTGATTTTCTGTTTTTTTAATGTATGATTTGTGCGTGTATGTATATGCGTGTTTGTGCGTGTGTGTGCATGTATGTGTGTGTGCGTGCGTGTGTGTGTATGTGTGTTCGTGTGTGTGCTCATGTGCGTGGTTGGTTAGTGCATGTGAAATTAACCTTGGCTAATGGAAAGAGGTCCTTCCCAGAGGAGAGTCCAGGAGGGGACGACGAAGACGACGAAGACGACCTCAAGAAGGGTCTCCGCATGGACGACGACGACCTGCTCTCCCTCGCCCTCCACATGTCCGCACAGGAGGCCGAGAACAAGGAGTACAGGCGTCAGGTCGCCGCCTTACTCGCGCGAGAGCCCGCTGGGCCGGCGACGTCCCCGGAGCGGGGCGGCTGGCAGGAGGAGGCAGAGGGGCGTCCGGGGAAGGAGGAAGCTTACTGCCATGAGGAACTTGAAGGTCTTGATGGGAAAAAGCTCCGCCTGAGAAGGAGGAGGCTGAAGGAGAGAGGAAAACATGCTTCTGGTTGGAGGAGGAAGAAGAACTGCAACTGGCCATGGCTATGTCACTATCTGTAAGCATTTTCTGTTCACTATATAACATCAAATATCACTTTAGAGTTGAGTCTCCCCTGTCTAGTTACAATGCTCTTATATAACACATAATTCTTGACACTGCGATACACAGATCATTATTTGCAACTCATTATACTTGTATGTGAGGGCATTTACATGTATGCCAAATAAATGCTCCATGTCAGTGCCAATTAGTAACGTTTTACAAAATGGCCTTTTATTCCAGCTCCAGACAAGCGAGTAAGAGGCAGCAGATTATTATGATACAGAGTAAACGCGCTGCAGCATCATGAAGGAGAATTGAAGCCCTAAACACAAACACACACAATGTTTGAAACCTCACGTTGGCAGTGTGATTATGCGGTATCCGTGAATTGTGGTCACCTACATTTATATATGAAGTACAGCTTATTAAGAGATTATGTATAGTTTATTATTGTATAATATTCATGGGAAATATTATGCAGGCACATCACATTATTTACTCAGTTGATTTTCAAAGAATCTAAATGGATTCTGACTTTTTGTCATCCATACATGTGGTCATTGACTGTCCCAAAACCTAAAGATAGTCCCTGTTAACAAAACTAAAAAGGTTTCACAGATAAAACTCGATTGCAATATCTCTTTAGGCTGTAAGAAAAAAAAATCTTGCAATTGGAGCACCAAGAGAAATCTGGAAGAAAGGGTGTTGCATTAACATTAATTTCTACACCTGAACCATCGGCTTTAGGTCCAACATCAACAGCAGTTTCAGAGCCAGCACCAGCCTCTCCGTCAGGCAAAGCTAAGGCCTGTTGCGGATGCTGTTGCAGAAGACTGACCTGATGAGATGAGATACTTATATGAACATGAACAACGAAGGTCATTGGCTCTGCTAAAAACCCACAGGGACTAAATTACTGGTATTACCTTTAGCATTATTAACATTATTATTAACATTAAGAAGTAGGAAATGAATATTTTTTAATTATTAATATATGTGTAGTTTTGATAAGCTACTTAGTGCAGTCTTCCTTGCCTTTTCCAGGATTTTTAAACAGTCTTGTAGAGCAGCAGTTTCACATGAAAATTATAACTCTTTCTCTCTCTCTCTCTCTCTCTCTCTCTCTCTCTCTCTCTCTCTCTCTCTCTCTCTCTCTCTCTCTCTCTCTCTCTCTCTCTCTCTCTCTCTCTCTCTAAATGAGCATGACGGTGTTTGTCATTTTCATTTTATAAACTTGTCTTGTTATTACATGTATTTGCATCTTAGTGATATGATTTTATCCTTTAAATGATTTTATTCATGTTTTACATTATTGAAATCTTCCTTTTTATTCTTTTAGATATGTCGATGACGTTAGTACTTATAAGAGGCTTTATTTTTCAATGGTTTTTTATTATTTGTCTTAAACTGTCAACTATGTACCGTCAGTTTTCCATATTCTAATTATGTATATTTATAAAATTAGTGAAAATGATGGCAGTGATGTCAGCAAGACGTCGCTATATATACGGAACCGCCATGGCAATAAAGAGAGATCTATGTGAACCTGTGTTTGTGTCAGCCGGAGAGGTCAGCAGGACCAAGGGTGAACATATTAAAGGCCAAACACCCACGAAAATTGCACCATCATGGGTCATTCAATAAGTTGGTCCAGTGATCAAGGCATCATGTTTTGGATCAAATTGGTGGTAGTTTTGGGTTCGGAATGTTGTACAAGACACCCATTGACCATTCTATCAATAAACAGCAGAACCAGAATTGTCTCCATAACCCACCAAATCAGGGCAACACAAAACCCCTGACATAAATAGAGAGAGGGAGAGAAATAGAGATGATGCTGAAAAAGCATCATCTGTTGGTGGCAGGGCTTCAAAGCTTTTGTCACTTGTTGATGACTTCCTTAATAGAATAGAGATAACGTCCAGCTCCTAGTAAAATAAAATTATCAGGAACTCAATACTTAACTTTCTTTGTTATTATGACTCTGGCAATTATTGTCCTCGGGTATAAAAAGGAAATAATACATGCACTGACTGATATAGACTGTATTTAGAGGGAAACTAGGTCATATGTATACACTATGACGTCATCAGTCATGTAAAATAATATAAAACTAAATCAGATTACAATACAAAAATATGAAGTGGGATGTCGAAATATAGATTAAGAGAAAAAATACAAATACAAGAAAACAAAACATTCAGATGTATATAAATACATTTGAAAAGTGTACCTTCACTCTAGGATGAGTCAGCAGGCAATTTATCTTGTGATAAATAGGGTAATAAGAAAAAGGATTTTTTTTTCAATATAACCAATAAGAACCGGGCAAAAAGACGCAATAAAAACAAAAGTATATACAAAAAGAAACAAAAAGAACGACTCTCAGGCAGGCTAAAACTAAAACACAAAATAAGACAAAACAAACAAACAAACAATATACGCAAAGACAGAGAAAACAAAGGCAAAAAATTCCGATAAACAAAAACGCGTTTGTTTTTTTGACAAATCTATTGCGTTTCAAAGGCTTCCTTACACATATATAAACATACATACATATATGTATATATATGTATACATATATGTGTATTTATGTATATATATACATATGCAAACACATACGTATTCATATATGTATGTGTGAACATATATACATATACACACACATATAAGTATTTATGTATATATATAGATACATACATATATACATTTATAGATATGTGTGCATGTGTGTATATGCATATGCATATGTACATGTATGCACATGTATATGTATCTGCGTATGTATATACATATGTATACGAATATGAACACGTACTGTATCTGTATGACGAGCGAGTGATTGCTTGCCTACGAATCGGCGATCTGTTGAGAAACCCTGCGGTAAATTCGGAAAAAAAAATCACATTCCTCATAAAAGCACAAGTTTGAGAGGCGGAATACAGTGTACGGAATGCGAGCTGCGACAAGTGCGATTTCTGTTCGGATGTTAAACTAAAGAAAAAAATAAATTTGTTTCACGCTTGTATCGCACTCCGAATGTATGGAAAAAAGAAAGAAAAAAAAAAAAAGAATAGAAGAAAAAAAAAAAAAACAAAAATAAAACTATAAAAGCCTAACCTATACAGTAAAATAATAATAATAATAATAATAATAAAATAAATAATAAAAAATAAATAAATATTAAACATAACAATTAAGGAAAAAATAAAGTTATAGACAAGGAATAGGGACATACGGACGATTCTGAGAAAATACTCTCAGTCGCCTCCCGTGTTTAGGCGGCATGTCTGGCTTCAGAACGTTTCGCGACATTCTTTAGCAGAGCCGAACGTATCGTACAGCAAACACGCTGACTGTGCACCCCGGCAGCTGTTCATTCGAGTTGTGGTGATCCCGCAAAGAAGGTTTCGTGGGCATTTCATTCCACATTTGATATCCACTCTATGGTGAGTACAGGAGTTGTCTGTGTTTCGTAGCGTACAAGAACAGTGCTTGCTTTAAGGGACAAGACTGAACACATTAAGACAAGGAAATCAACTAATGGCTTATAAAAACCTAGTGACATAATGTTCATACTGTTTTTTTTTTTTTTTTTTTTTTTAAACCTTGATCGGCATTCTTTTCCGTTTACACTTCCTCTCATTATTGCCATGTAGTAAACACCGTCGCCGTCGGTAACACACACAACGTCGTTTTCACTCCCCTCCCCCCGTCTCTCTCTCTCTCTCACGCACTCTCTTTCTCTTGTGCTTTTGTATTCTCTCTATTTTATCGGCATTCTCCTCTGTTTACATTTCCTCTCTATCGTCATCATCGTTATCATTATAATCAGTCATTGTTCCTATTATCATTCTCATTATCATCAGTCATCATCGTTTTTCCTATCAGTATCATAATTATCATAACCATCGTCATCATCATCATCATTATCAGTCATCATCGTTTTTCCTACCAATATCATTATAATTATCATAACCATCTGTATCATCATCATCATTATATCATACAACCACCGCCGCCGCCAGCAGTAGCTCCATCGCCATCACATCACCAACACCATCAGAATTGTCATGTTTTTATCTTCTCTCTTCTCCCCTCGCACTACCGTTTCATTCGAGGGGAAAACGTGAATAAAATACGGAATGTTTAGCAGCACAGATCGATTCTTGAGGAGTATACAAAATTAGTGTTTACATGGGGGTTACGTTCGCTTGCAAAATATGAGGGGATACGAGAGTTGTTTCATAACATAAAGTAAATAAAACATTATTTTAAAGCAAATATGCAACTATCTATCTCATGTCCTCACCCACACACTCTCTCTCCCTCTTCCCTTTCTTCCTTCCATCTTTACTTCCTTCTTTTAAGTCATCGTACGCCCGACACCTCAGAGTCACTATTCTCAAAGGGAGTAACGTCATGGTCAAACTTGCCAAGGATTTTTTAACGTAAACTGCTGTGAAAATTACCGAGGACACGACCTGCAGTACACAAATTACTGTTCGCTCTATTTATTATTGATAATTCGTAATAGTCAGCACCAGAGGAATGACGGCACTTCTCGATGTATATTTGTTCTGATATCAGATTTGCTTTTAGTGCTGTGGGATTACCCGCCCGATTCTAGTGACCTGCTCCCCTCGCTGCTCACCCCTCGAAGACCACGAAAGCCATGTGTTCTTATATCACAAGTACTTCAACCTGCCCTGTGCCCGACATTGACAAAGTAACCGTAGAACACGCTAATCTGACCCTTATTACTATCATACATTTTCAATGTTTTTTTCTGTTGTCTTCAAGTATAAATATGTCCTGTTTATACTGAAAATCTTCTTATAAAATGCTTGATCTAAATCACTATGTATGTAACTGATTTTACTATTGATATTCAAGTGTTTCATGTTTCATGAACTCAGTAATTCTGTCCCCTAACCACCAGATGTAAGGTTGTTAAAACATACCGATATCATGTCAACCATATACCCTTGTTCCTCTCCACGAAACGGTCATGTGAACCAATGTTTCTGAATTTATGTTCATCCATATTCTTTCATGTTTTTTCCATTGTATATTGTTTAAAAACGAACTTCGTCCATGGCAATTCCTGTGCCATACTCTTAGACCGGTCGCCCTCGTGGGCTTGGCAGGACGCGCTCCTCCCTGGGCACCTGCCTTGCCCTCTGTACCAGTTACCCAGAATAAAGACAAGAAAACTGCGACAAGTTTAACTGCACCAACATCTTCAGAGTACTCCAGTACGTCAGCACCTTAGTTACTACTGCCTTACCGCTCGACCACGCTCTACCAAACTACAAGTAATAATAGTGGAGGGAGTGGGACATCGCCTCCCACTTCATATATTACACCGCTACACTGCTGCGTTCAGAACACCTTGCCTTGCTCGTCCGGACAACCTGTCAGAACGAGCAGGACGAAGAGCCCGCGGCCGGAACTCTCCGGGCCGTCATTACCCACAATCAAGTACCTTTATTTTTCTACACTGCATAGGTTTATAGTCACTGTGATCCAGAGCCTCTCTCCAACACTAAAACTAAAATAACTTTTAACAACGATTACCATTAATTTCTGGTTACCCGCAACTTTTAATGTTTATATAGAAACGCTGTTGTGACGAGAGGAACAAGAGGTCCAGGACGACAAAGTAGGGTTCCGAACGGTCGAAACTCTTGTACAACTTGTTGGAAGGAAAGTTTCGAACGCTAATTAGACATCGGACAGCGAGTCTCTCGCTCTCTCTCTCTCTCTCTCTCTCTCTCTCTCTCACTCTCTCTCACTCTCTCTCTCTCTCTCTCTCTCTCTCTCTCTCTCTCTCTCTCTCTCTCTCTCTCTCTCTCTCTCTCTATATATATATATATATATATATATATATATATGAGTATGTGTGTGTGTGTGTGTGTGTGGTGTGTGTGTGCGGTATCTCCTCATGTGTGTGTTGTGATTTACATGTGTGTGTGTGTGTTCAATGTTGTGTATGTTGGGCCGGTGGTGTGCTGGGCGTGATGTGTGGTGGTAGTGATGTGGTGGGGTGGGCTGTGTGTGGTGGTGTTGCTCAGAATTGAGGCTTTCCGACACCATGTGGCGCGACCCTTCGATGTCTTTTGTCTTGCTCGTACCTCGACAGTTACTACTCCGGTATTTGACGTAGTGTTGCGTAAAATGGTGTGGAGTAAGGATTATCCTTAGGAATCATATCATTCCTTATCCTCCATAAGCCTAAGATATAGGAATTCTGGTCCGAAATTTTTCCCGTCCTGGAAACGGTCTCTTTTCGCTGCTACAAAGCACATTTGAGCTTAAGTAGGTAAATTAAAAAGAAGAGAGTATGAGATTAGAAAAAAATTAGAATACCCGGGTGAAATATAATCGTGTATTATCGTATTATACGTAACTTTCAATACATACCCTCATTCCAGGAATCCCTCTACTATCCGGTTGTACTCATTTGTCTAAATTACTCAACATGCACGTACGCAGCCATAATGTAACTTATTATGCGAAGAGGCAGTGCCCCGTCATT